TTTTTTTTTTTTTTTTTTTTTTTTGAATTTTTTTTATATTTTTTTTTTTAGTTAAAATTTTTTATTTTCTTTATATTTTGACTTTATAATAATATAATTTCATTTTTACTTTATATTTGATTTTTTTTTTGTTTTAATTTTAGTTATTTATTTATCTTTTTATTTTGGTTTTAGTTTATTCTAACCTTATATATTTTTATTTTCAGTTTTATTTAATTTTATTTTAATCTCAATTAATTTTATCTTTGATTTATTCCAATCTCAATTATTTTTGACTTCAATAGTAATTATCAAGAGTTTGTAAAATTACATAAACTATAATATGATATAATAAAATTATAGATTTTTAAATAATGTATTTTAGTTTATAAATGCTTAAATTAAAAATTTATATAAAATTTTTAATGTTTTATGTGATTTATTATAAGTGAAATTAATAAAATTATATATGAGTAAAAATCAAGGTAATTTTATATGAAAAGCAAATTAGCAACAGTTTAAAATTTAAATAATTATAATATAAAATATATGATATATAGTCAACTTTAATTATAAATATATTTTATGAGAATTTTTCTTAAATACATATTTTTTAATTCCAATTTTTATATATAAAATATTTCTTTTATAATCATTTCCTAAATATTAGCTAATATACTGTATGCTATGACCTTAAAGATTTTAAATATAAATGTGACATTTTTGTTTTTAACGTCAATTCCTCTAGAATTTTTACATATCTAATTAAAGATTCAAAGTGTAAATTGGATCATTGCCACGACTGTTATTAGATTGATTAATAAGGTGATATGCCACTCAATAATCAATAGCAGATCATCATTTATTTGAAATTTTACATGTCCCTTCATTACCAAAAAATGGATGGTAGAATATAATGAGAGTGATTTTAATATTTATAACTAAAACAGACTTGGAAAAAGAAAAAACAACCAGATCACCTAAGAACCAAAGTACTACTTGCAAGAATTACAAAAAAAAGTCATAAAAATAAATGATCATATTATTAGTATATATAATTAATAGCCGTTTGTTCATTGTTACTTATATATAGGATGTCATAACTCATGAGTATACTGGTCTTATTTGCATATTTGTAAAACTTTGAAAGAAATGATATTAGTTTTATAAAAATGATAAAATGGTTAAAAAGAAACTTTTTTTCACAACTCTATTTATTTAATTTTTCAGAGGAGCACTAATAAATGAAAAATATACATAATTATTTTATTTTCAATTATATAAATAGCATTTCATAATGTCAAATGATAAAAAATTTTATGGTTATAAGAATTAGCAAAAAATGTGATTGAGACGAAAGGTTATAAAGTATATGCTATATAAAAGGAACAAATAATAATCTTTTTTTAGGGAATAAAAAAAAATATGTAAAATAAAGTTATGAGTACAGTCAAACCTTAATATAGTGAATCCTTGATATAGTGAATTTTTCAGACAATTATAATAACTTTCCTCTCGCTATAACGAATTAATCAATCAAATCTCTTAAAATCTTTACTATAGTTTTATAGCAAAGTTAAGGTCTGAACCTTATAGGGGTGATATTTTATAGGGAAAAGTTTTTAATATACCATTTACATCACAATAAAACTATTGAATTTTGAAATACTCAAAAATAACGTCTAATGACAAAACTTCATTTGTCGACCAATATTACTTATTGATTGTTATGTCCATAAAATAATATAAACCACATATGCATCTTTTAACATCATCAAATCTAAAATGATTCTTATAATACACTTTCTGTAAGTAATTGATAAAGTTTATATTTTGGAAAAGGCATAATAATGTTTTATCTACCAGTTTTTCAAAAATAGGAGGACTATTATTCAATAATATCTATCATAAAAAGATGAAAATAAAAATAAAAAAATTTGAAAATTGGATGGCAAAAACAGCAAATGAATACTGAAATCTTTACCTTTGAGTGAATAAATTCTAGTGCATCTCTTATACTACAAGTATTTTCCAAATATAATATTGATTGATGGCATTCTTTTTTTTTTACTATTGCTTATTTTTTGGCCTCCTCTTCTTTAATTATCTTAAATTTCTTAGCTTCATTCATTTTCATTATCCTTTCTATCATTTTTAACTTATCATTCTCCTTTAACTCTATTATCTTTAATATTATCTTGTATTTTTCAACATCCAACTTCTTCACAAGCTGAAAAACTTTATGTTTAATACTGTTCTGAATAGTCAGGTTATCATCAAATTCAGTCAAATCTATATAATCAGGTGCACCTTTTTTACTGGATTCATGAATATTGCCTATCTTTGTCAGGTCAATATTGTTGAGTTTATATTTAATATTATTCTCAAGTTCGGTCAAGTCTATATAATTAGGTGCATCTTCACTGGGTTCGTGATTATCATCAAATTTAGTTAAGCTGTTCCAACTTGATTATTTGTTTAACATCCCCCATCCCCCTCTATCTTTTAAAAAATTTGAGATCTAATAAACACATATTTTTAAATACCCCCTCTATTTTTGAAAAAATTTAAAAGCAAATAAACATATAGTGATAAATATTCCCTTTAAATTTTACCTGAAATTTTCAAATTTTCCTATGTTTATTTATTTAGTTTGTTTAACTTAAGCCCCCCTCCCCCTTAATTTTTTCAAAAGATCTGGACGTTAAACAAACAATTAAATTGGAACAGCCTGATTATCATAAAGTTCAGTTAGGTCTATATAATTGGGTGCATCTTCCCTGGTTTCATGATTATCATCAAATTTGGTTAGGTCTATATAATTGGGATTTACCCCAGTATCACAGACACTTTTATAATTAAAATTTCACCCCACGTGACCGGTGACATTTAAAGGAATGTGAAAAAAATAATTTTGCGAGGCAAAAAAAAAAACAGAGTCCTTCAGATGCAAATGTATCGTTCTTGTACCATCAGGTGCTATTTTCTTCTACCACCTTACTGTAAAAATATATTATGCGGTGAAGATCGACATGCATATGGTAGAAGAAGATAGTATTTGCCCCTCAGATAAATATAAACAGTGAAAACGCGGTGGGTGTGATGCCGGTGATGAATATTACAAAATCACGTAAGATTATAATTGGGTATAATTGGGGTGTATCATCACGGGGTTCATGATTATCGTAAAGTTCGGTTAGATCTATATAATTGGATGCAGCTAATCTTTTTTCTTTTTTTGTTCTCTTTAACCTAAAAATAAAATAGGAGTTAGTGAAAGTGTTTCACTAAGTAGTCATATATACAAACGTAAGTTTCCAAATAAGGAAAGTTCATAGCCAATTCCTCCTCAAGAATCAGCAGACCTTATTTGAAAAACTTCATTGGTTGCATTTCATTGTAGGCCAGGCAATCCCATGTTAAATTGTGGGCCGAACAACCATATGATTGAATGGAATCGCCCTTGAGCGATCTCACAACTTACATATAATCACCCTTGAGCAATCTCACAATTGCACTTCCTATTGTAGGCCGAACAACCATGTAGAATGAATGGAATTACCTTCGCAATATGTTTATATATGATGTAACCTTTTCACTGCACCACTAAACAGATTGTTCCAGTAATCTCACAAAGAAACCCCAATGGAAAGGAGTTTGTCTACCTGTATGGGTTCATTTCTTATTCTTATTGCCTCTTCCCGACTTCTTTTCTCACGTCCACGTTTGTTCTTTTTATGACGGATAATTGACAGTGACATTGCTTAAGTAAAGATATTAGTGCTTTGATAATTTAAAAAAGAAGTATGTAAGTTTATAAAAAAAAAAGGGTTTTTTTTACGCTCCCAGATGGTATCAGTGGGAGACAGGAAACGCGTATATATAATTTGATATCACGTTTTATCATGTTAGCACGTTAGCAGAATTAGCAGAAATAGCAGGAACAAAAGAAACGCGTACGCATAATTTATACCAGTGAGATAATCAGAATACAAAAATAGGTTATTATTTGCGGAATATACGTTTTATTTGATTTTATTTTACTTGCATTATTGCATATTATTTTTTTGATCATTAAGCACCAGTTAAAAACGTATTCATATTACTCCTTCAGCAACGAGTAAACTACTATCAATAAAGAAATATAAACATCCAAGTGATCTGTGTAATCATACATTACGTAAAAAAAATCATTTTTCCATAAAAAACGTTGGTAGAATTTGTATATTACGAAATTTTATTTTAATTTCTTACTTCTTTAGTTTTAATTAAATTTACTATTTATTAATTAAAAATTTTTTTTAAAAAAATATAAATAAGACCCGAATTCATAAGGAGGGTGTGGTGGGCCGCTACTCTATAATTGATTAGGATTAGGATTATTAAATAGATTAATTAAATAGATTACTAAATAGATTAATAGATTAAATAAATTTTACAACCATTTTTTTTTCAAATTCGTCTAGTAAAATCTAACCAAAAAAGAGTATACCTGGCAAGTGTTTTGATGATCTTTCAATACTACATCACAGAAATTATACCATACATAATAGGAAAAAAATAGTAGCTGTTTTCTATATACTGATAACATTTATATAAACAAATAATCAACCGTGTTTCATTACCTTTACTCTCATCGCAACATAATTCAGTAAGCTTGTCAACGAAAGAAACTTTCTTTCTCTTGAAGACTGCAAATATGACAGCAGGCGCAGTAAAATAAACATGAAAAAGTTAACACTAAAGTACCTTGGTAACGTAACAAGGAAGAAATTTACTATTAGAAATTACCTTTTGCAACTTTTTGAAAAAATGACATATTTGCGTTTGAAGTAATGAGTAAGAGAAAATATTCGAAAGAAATTTTAAGAAAATTTTCTTTTTAGCTATCTAATTTATAATGATTTAATCAATCAATCAATCAATCAATAATATAATTAGTAATTTTATGTCATAAATTGACATGTAAAAAATTTATTGTAAAAAATTTATTATACTCAGAACATATGATAGCTACGACCATGGACGAATTTTTTGAGAAATTCTCTTCTAGTTAGCATTAAAATGAGCATTGTGAGCCATTGTGAGCCGATTGAATACTTTTTAATTGAATTTATTCAATAAAAACATGAAATAAACATCAACAGCGATGGGACCGGGATACGAATTTTTTGAGAAATTGCTCTATAACTAATATATTTGTCTGTGTCGGTTTAGATTATGGTAATAGTTATCATGTTTATATATTTCTTGTTCCTTATGCAAATTTGCTTCAGAAGATGCTGAGCAACTTCACAGTAAACTCATAGAAGCTAAATTAAAGGTAAGTAATTTTCTAGTAAATTATGTCTTCCATTAGCTATGGAACAAAACTTACTAATCGATTCTGGTCTTGGTTCTGTGGACGGAGATTACGAACTTTTGAAGGCTCTAGGATTAATAGACGATGAAGAAACGGAGATAAATTGATGGGTATGACAAAATCGAGGCAGATGAAGATGACGAAGATGACGATGATGATGATTGGAATGAATTCGAGACCGATGATGAAGATGACAAGGACAATTATTGGGACCCTAGCAAAATGTATACCGGATGGGATTATTTAGCTCATTTTGGGGAAGATGCTTGGAATAAACTTAGCTCGGTTGGCTCACCATCGAAATATTGTATTTAGGGAATTCACCAGACATCTTCCAAATATATCTGAGCAAGAAAAAAATGGATTATTCGACACATTTTCTAGATCTGATGCATGCCCATGATCCTATTCCAACTTCGTAAATCTAATTCTAAACTCAGCATTCTCAGACTCAAGTTTAGTGATAGCTGACTTATATTTCTCTAGCTTCACTATTTTGGCGTTAAGTTTACCAATCTTGGCTGGAAAATCTGTTATAGCTTTCACTTATCGTTATTTCTGGCATTAAGCTTCTGTCTTAACTCCATATTCTCAGCCTTGAGCCTGGCATTTTCTTGCCTGAGTTCATCAAATTCGTATGACATTTTTGATACACGATGGGAATTATTCAATGTTATGTGGAAAATGTAAAGACGCTTTATTAATACAGAGAAAAAAATAAATACAAATGTGGGACTTTGCCCAGGATACATAAAGTTTCTATTATACATGCTTATTTTTTCGAACGATATTCCTCTATTCTAGCTTTTTTCATTGTTTTCATTGAGGCTTCCGCGCATGCCCTGCTACGTTTTCACGCCATTGTGTAACGTTTGATATTCCCAATTATTTGTCGTACACATTTCTGACGCGCAAGAGGAGGCATTTTAGTTCTAAAAAAATCGCGATTAGCCATTGACCGACTGTAATAAAATAATATAATTAATATAGAAAAGAAATTTGGCAATTTGAAAAATTTGTGAATTTTTTTTATGAATGCACCTAATTTTTTTTTTTGTGTACATTAATTCAGTAACTAATACTTGTTCTCAACTTTTACCTGGAACTTCAATTTTCCATAACGTTGAGTTCGTTAAGAGCAAAATTATCGAAGCTTTGCTTCCTTTCTTGATAACTTTCACGTCATCAAACCAAAGTACAAGTGTTACAAAGTTACAACACAAGAATGACAGTTTTGTAAGATGACAAACATGAAACAATTACCCCTCGTTCTATGGTGTTACGATTTACGAGCTAAGAAAGTAAAGTGATACAGGTCAATATAACTTTTGCGAAACCGAGATATGTGAAAAATATTGCCTCAATAACAAATTACAAAAAAGTTTAATTAATCTTTTATTTATTTAAAAAGTACACAACTATAAACAAAATATATTACAAAGTGGAAAAAAGCGTGAAATTAACCAGCATTCACCAATAATAATGAAGAATTTATGGAAAGTCTAAATCTAAAATCTAAAAGTCCTTTGTTACCCACTCATTTAAAACTATACGATTTTGAGTGGATCCATGTGTATTTGATTTGAAACTACATTATCCTGTAATGATGACGTCTGTTCTAAAACAGAACGACATTTAGCCATAAGATCTGAAGCATCCTTATAATCTTGAACGAATGTGCTTTCATATTCAAAATCCTCAAAGACACGTTCAAGGAAATACAGCCCGTTAGCATATTCGCCAGCATGAATCAATACATTAGCTACTCTCAACACAAAAACGCTCAGATATCTTTGAGTGTCAAACCCGTATTTTTCATACCAGTTCAAAATTTGATCGAGGTTTTGAATTATAGCATTCTTGGACTGGAATATACCATTAGATGCATCGAAAAGGATAAGAATCTTTAGAATAATGATATAAGTCCAATGACGAGTACCAATGTGAGATATGCAAGCATTGTAGAGTTCAATTAATTGAGAATGATCTATAAATGGGAGAATGTTTAATTTTTCTTCTAGAGCAATAATTTGATTTTCTAATTCTGTTTCTCTTACAAACAATCCATGAAGTCTTGGGCTGTTATCTTCAAAACGTGAATTACACATATCGCAAAGCCAATAATTCTGTGCCGTTGATGCTTTGTTTTCATTTGTAGACAAAATTGGATACCGATATATATATCCACCATTCATTCTTCTATGATTTTTACAAATATTACAATTTGGACAAGGTAAACCACGTGATACATCCATCCTTTCGGTACATCTTGGACATTCACATGTGAACAACTTAGCGCGTTGAAGAATCCTGTGTCTCGCTCCTCTTGAGAGGATACTATCTTTACCAAGATAATCTGTAGTAATCTGTTCACCCTTCGATATTCTTTTGACAGCTGTATGAACACCAAGTCCGTCAATAGACTGATAAAAAGTATTTGCTTCGCAAGAGTGATTCATTTTACTGCCAAATACGAAAATGGCTGAACCATCAAAATCGAAAGAATGAGAATTCAAAGTGAATATCATGAAGACCTTACGGAAAGTTTCTTCAGGTATGTCTGCCCAAGCTTCAACTCGGTTTATACAAGTTTTGATAATCTTGTCAACATATGTTGAACCAATAATAGACCATGCTGACTCAAGTTGATCTTGAGGGGGAAGATAAAAATTATTTAATATGGCATTTTGAATCTCTGGAGAAGCATCAAAAAATGTTTTGAATTTTGAGAATACACTCAAATCTATATCAAATGTACATGAGAATGCACGATCACGTTTCGAAGATAATGGGTGTACAACTATAAAAGGTTTTTCCGATAATACAATTTCGCCTTTTTCAAAATCGCGTGTAGCGTATAAACCATTTCCATATTTTTCATTATATTTAACTTCAATACCGTCAATACCGTCCATAATTTTATATGTAAAGGGCAAAAAAAAAAAATGGAATATTGTTTGAAAAGTAAGGGATTTTTTTTTTTGAATTGTGGAAAAAATTAAAAAAGTGGGGTTGTATTTATAATATTTATCAATTAACGATGCAAAATGTAGATTAAGAGAGATAATGGATACGAGTGGCGTAACATCTGTCGAAAGAGGAAAAAATTCTCAAAGAAGCACAGAGAAACATCTTACATAATATCAATTTATCTGAAAAAAAATGGGGAACGTGATCAGCTGATGGGGTTCAATTTCCTTTATGGTAATAGGCAAGTGAAAAACATAAAACAGTGATGCAATGTTATGCAAAAGAAACAATTGGATTTTCTATTAACTTGTGAATGCGTTACCCGAGTTTTACACGACGAATAATTAACAGGTGAAAAAAAATCGGCAATGTACGAAATTGTGCATGAATATAAACTTTTTTTTTTCAACAATGGGTGCATTATAAAGAATTTTGTTATAGCAGCGCGATGGTTCACTTGCAAGTCTAAAGTCCATTAAAATTTGCAAGTTCTTAAAATACCCATTGTTTTCATTTATTCAGAAAGAAAAAAAAATTTTTTAAAGAATGATGAAAATGCTACGATTGTGGTGTTATTATTATTACTTTTTTTTTTTTACATTGTTGTATTGTTTTAATTTGACACGCATGTGTTACTTTCCCTGCCATTAAGATACAAGTTATAGGATCGATCTGATTCGTTGAAACCAATGTGATTCGATTTTTTTTTCTGTCCTTTTATCGGATTCATATGAATTCTTTGCAGATTTGTTATTAAGTTTTTCTCGTGAAACTAAGATTAGTGTAATGTAATTTCTTGGTTCACACAGTTTTGTTCTCATGATCTATTGGAGAGATATTTCTGGTGCAACCATTGTATTGTAACACTAATATTAGGCTGGAATTTTGGCTGGAATTTTACGGCTGCTATTTAGCATTAGCCGTGTTTATGAATAAATGAAAATTACGATGTATAGTATAGTGTGAATTTACTAGAACTAGAATAGATTTTCTAGTATGACGAAATAAACAATTATTTTATTCAAATTCATTATTTTCATATAATTCGTTACTATTTTTATTTTATAGAAATTTATTCATAATAATTTGAAATGGACAAATATCAAGTAATATTTTTATTTTATAACTTTTTAGGTTATTATTTGTGTCAATAAAATTATTTATTAACAATAATTATTTTAATAATAGAAAATTGAAAAATTGGGAGAAGGTTGGTTAAATTTCATATCTTTCTTTTAGTTGTATCAAGAATATACTAACCTTTGGTTGGATCTTGGTCGGATCTTTCGAATGAAGGAACGTATGGTATCGTTTATAAAGCACAGAATCGAGATTCAAACGAAGTAGTTGCGTTGAAACGGATAAGGTTAGATAACGAAGAGGAAGGGGTATCGTATTTGTTTCAACTCTATTTATACTTTAATTGATTCAATTAGTTTAATCTTAATTAATTAATTATATTATTAGGTACCCTGTACTGCAATTCGTGAGATATCATTGTTGAAAGAATTAAAACATCCAAATATAGTGAGGTGAATAATTTAGTCGGTTTTATATTTTACCGATTTGGATTGATTAAAATTAATTTATTTAATTTCTTTAAAAAGACTTTATGATGTCTTACATACGGAAAAGAAACTGACATTAGTTTTTGAATATTTGGATTCGGACTTAAAGAAATTCTTAGATACATATGGAGGCGATCTGGATAAAGACACAATTAAGGTATTGTTTTTTTTTCATTTTTTAATGTTATTATAATTTTTTTTATTTATTTTATTATTATTTATTTTAGCAATTAATGTATCAACTCCTGAAAGGGATTGCGTTTTGTCATGAACATAGAGTTTTACATAGGGTAGGATATTAATTTATTTTGAAATTCATAAGTTGAAAATTATTTATCTATATATTTTATACTAATTAAAGTAAAATTTACAGGACCTGAAACCACAGAATTTACTTATTAATAAGGTGAAAAATTTCACATAATTTTTAATTATTTTAATTAAATCACATTTTAACATAAATTTATTCAATTAAGAGAGGAGAATTGAAATTGGCGGATTTTGGTCTTGCGCGTGCATTTGGAATTCCTGTTAGAAGTTATTCACATGAGGTTTATTTAAATTTTATTTGATATTAAAAAAAAAAAAAATAATAATTTAAAAAGAATATTATAATTAATGAATTTTTTACTTAGGTTGTAACGTTATGGTATCGTGCACCTGATGTATTAATGGGATCAAGACAATATTCAACATCTATTGATGTTTGGTCTGCTGGGTGTATATTTGCAGGTTAGAACAATCAGTTATAATAGATTTTTATTTATGTTTATTTATATTTATCATTTTTTTTTTATAGAAATGGCTTCTGGTAGGCCCCTGTTTCCAGGAAGCTCAATTAAAGATCAGTTACTGCGAATATTTAAATATCCTTTATTTTAACAAACAATCCTATTTTCCAAGTCTATTTTATCATATATTTATATCCTTAGCCATTTTAGTACAGTTTTAGGAACCCCGACAGAGGAAACGTGGCCTAGAGTATCACAGTTGCCAGAATACAAAGTATGTTTTCATCTAGTGATGGATAAATAAATTATTGCATCTTTAATTAAGTATTTAATATACAAAATATTTCGAAAATATTTTGTAGAGTGATTTTGCTATTTATAATCGAATTCCACTAGAATCACTTCTTCCAAAACTTGATTCATCAGGAATTGATTTATTAAGTGTGAGTTAAATCATCTTTCTTAGGTAAAATATTTTTGATTAGAGAAGTCAATGTTAATCCTTAAAAAAATTTTTTTTTTTTGATTGCTAGCAGCAATTAATAGAATATCAACCAGAAAAGCGTCTTAGTGCAGAAGATGCACTTCAACATCCATATTTCGAGGAAATTCGTAAAAAGGAACAATCAACACAAGCAGCAGCATCATCCGTGTAATTTTTCATATTGTTATTTTTATTATCAATTCTTCCATTAAAAAATTCAATATCCTTCCCCTCATATAATCCGCATTCCTAAGTTTTATCCAGATAAGATTTGTGTTAATTCAATAATATATATACACAATTTAGCAAACTATATCATTATTTTTTATATATACTGTATTAGTTACAAATACCAAAAAAAAATTGGTATAATTTAATAATGTTTCTTAAATAACAAGATATATTCAATAAAAGAAATAATTTTTTTTTTAATAGAAATATATAAAGTAAGTATTAGATAACAATTTCACCTTCAATGGATTTTTGATCTAAGCCTAATTTCTTTAAACAGGTAAAATATCTTTCTAAACTTTGCGTTTTTAAATATTTTAAAATACGCTGCCTTTTATGCACCATATATCTTAAAGCTCTATAATTATGCTTATCTTTATGATTATTTTTAATATGCTCATGAAGATTTAAAATTTTAGCAGTCCAAACAGCAGCTATTGTTAAAATTAATACGTTAATTTGGAAATACTAATGATAAAAAAAAATAATAATTTTCATTAATTTACTTACCTTGAACTTCAGCACTACCAGTATCACCTTCTTTTCTAGCAAATTCTTTTATAGCTAATTGAATATTATGTAATAAAATACCTTTAGAGCTAGCATTATGTAGACCAGTTAAATTTTTAAGTATTTGAACTCTTCCTAATTCTTTTTCTGGTTCTGTTGTAGAATTTTCTATTATAATATCTGGTGCAATTTTAAATAAAAATTCTTCATCTTTTCCATCCAAAAAAAAATTCCTATATTGTTTATTTTCAGATAATGAAAGAGTTGAGGGAGATGATGTAGAATTAGCTGAAGTATAAATTTGTGAAGGACGTAAAAGTGAATTTGTAAATGGTGTTGGTATTCCTGTTATAACATTGGATCTTTTCGAATTTTCTTGTTGCAATTTTGATATTTTTTTTGCAATATTTCGACGTTTTATTTCTCTTGGATGACTTTTTTGTATGAGAGTTGTAGAGTGAAATAAACGCGCTATATTCAATTTTTTTCTTTTTTAGTTTTTAAAACGAGTTTGAAACCAGAAGGAAATAATATTTGAAATTAATTTACCCTTCAACGTTGTAAAGAGTTTATTACTTGAAGGAAATAAATATCTTTTATAATAAGAAAACATATTATAATAAAAATATAACGGCACAGAAAAAGAGATGAGTGTAAAAAAAAAAATTTTAATCTGACCAATTAAAAATACGCAATGAGTATTTTTTGATCGTCAGTACAGAATGTCTTGACGAATATAATCAATCAAGGAAAAATTGCCAATATAATATATACTCCAAAATTAATTTGCTAAATCATTATTTAAAATTGAAAATTTCTGAAATCTTTCATTATAATGGATTACGAGAATCAACATATAGTATTTTAAATAAACATACAAGCAATGATTGTTCGAACTAGGCCATTCAAAGTACTGCTTTATGGTTTGCTGTAAATTTTGCCTTTTTATACTGATAGGTAGAATTCCATATAGGACTCGTCATATAAATTCCCTGGAACTCAGTTCCAGGAATTCAATGTGCGCACACAAAAATTAAAAACTGCTCATGACCAAAATTTTTGCGCCCACAAAAAATTTTTGGTCATGTGCGCAGGATGAGAGGAAAAATTAAAAAAATTAAAGGATATTTAACCAAAAATATTCTTCATATTTTGTTATCATTTGATTCGATTTTTTGATCGTATTCATTATGAATGATTCCAACCGATCATAAAATATGTTTAAAACCCTTTTGCAATATTTACAATGAAAATCAAAAAGTGCAAATGTTAAAAACTTTTTTAGATTTTAGATATGAAAAGGATTATTCTTTCGATTAATGTGTATATTCATTTCGGTGCATTTCATTGTAACGAATCCGAAATCTAATCAATAATCAAGGATCTTACTAAATTTGGTAATCGTTATATAACGGATTATCAATTATGGTTGTACTAAGTATATACCATTAGAAGAAACATTTCAAAAGGAATTTTATGTCCGTTTTACTACCGACTCTGTGAAAAATGTGTTGCGTAAGTAACTTTATCTTCATTAAACACCTATTTATATTAAACCTGATCTAAAATTAAATTTAATTTTTTTAATTTTTTTATTTTAATAAGATCTTGAAAGCTAGGAAAGCTAGGCGAAATGATAAGTTTAAGGGTTGTACATTCGATAAAGGCGAGAGCTGCTGGTCTTCAATGTAGTGGAATAAGACTTATAAAAAACCAAAAAAGAGCAGAAAATGCGTTACAATACATAAAGCGAACAACTTTAACAAATAATGGTCTACACCTTCCAAGAATTCTTAATAACAACCTTAGTAGCTTTTCACTTTCAACTTCACAAAAGTTAGTACCAAAGTCATTAATTTATCAGTGTAGACCTTTTCATGCAACACAACCGACTTCAGCGACTTCTTTTATAACATTTAAAACAGTCAATGCAGTATTGGTAATACGTAAACTTAGTAATTTATTATTCTCATTTTTACCTCTTGCATTACGTAAACATCCAAAAACAGGACGACGAAGACGTTTATTGTTATTTATAACAACGGTAATGCCGTTAACAGGGTTTTGTATATTAATTTTAGCAGGTATAGAAAAAGCACCACATACAGGACGTCTCAGGTTTAAATTTATGTCGGAAGAAGAAGAAAGTGAACTTTGCGATTTAGCATTTAAAAATGAAGTGGAAAAGTATAAAAATAATTTCCTCTCACTAGATAGACTTGAAAGCAAGTTAGTTTATCATGTCGCGAGTAATTTAGTTAAAGGTTTAAACGATGATTTAATGACTTTGAAATCATTCAAAAATTTAAGTGATAAAGAAAGTGGAGAGAAAGCTGCTAATATTATAGAAGAAAATGTTGATAATATGAGTGATAAAAATACGAATATACAACAAGGTGAAAAAAATCCTAAACATTTTGAAATTTACGTTATTGAAGAAGATGATGTGTTTAATGCTGTTTCTTTTGGTGCTTCCAAGAAAATTGTCATATTCACTGGTAAAGTTACGCGTTTATTTTCAAAATTCTCGCGTGAATTCCTTCCTAATATCCTAATATTTAGTCTATTCTGTACGAAATAATTTAATTTAGGTTGGCTCAAATTGATTAATTATGATGAAGAATATCTTGCATTCACATTATCTCATGAAATTGCTCATATTATACAGGGTCATTCAAGTGAACCATTTGGAATTAGTCAAATATTGTTCATGTTTGCAGGTACCCTTAAATTAGATTATTTTCTAATTTATTTAAAATTAGAATTATAACATCTTTTCTCCTTTAATTAGATACGGCTCGCACGTTGTTATGGTTTCCATTTCTCTCAGCATTGGGACCTTTAATAAATGATTATTTGAATTCAGCAACAGAAAGTTTAATTGAAAAATATACAACAGGAAGGTATAATCAAAGAGCAGAAAAAGAAGCTGATATAGTTGGATTACAATTGATGGCACTTTCAGGATATCATCCAAAGAAAGCCGTAGAATTATGGAAATATTTATCATCATTAAATAATCCAATTAAGACTGAGACACACTTACAAGATAATGTAATTATTGAAGAGGAAATTGTCCGAACGGATGGAATTGAAGAAAATTATCCTCTTATTCAAAATTTGCAAGATTTCTTTGCTTCACATCCTTTGGATGAAGTTCGTGCCGATTATTTATTAGATATGTTACCTGAAGCAGAAAAAATCTATGACGAAGTTGCTAATAAAGGTGGAAATGCTATATCATTTATTATTGATAATCATGTTGAGGAATTGAATGAACCTATTAAAACCATTAAAAATACTGAAGAACAGATTATGTCTAGAATTTGGAATAGTTTAAGATATTTAATTGGATTAAATCCGGAATCATAAAATAATTTCATACTGTTACACTTAAGCATTTATCTTTGTATATATATATAGTAAACATTTTAGTAAATCATCATATGTGATCTTAGAAAATCTGGTATTAACTCATTTTTGGTTTTCCACCAATTCCTTTAATTTATTTATTTATTTATTTATTTATTACTATATCAGATATATATTTATAATTATATTTCTCATTCATTAATAAAGTAAATGATCTGTTTATTTATTTTTCACAAGTTTCTACTATTTAACTTATGATACTGCCTTTCAGAAGATTTCAGTTTAAGCGACGTAAATTTTTTTAACGTCATTTTTATTAAATAATATTACCGTAGAAAGATACCGAAAAAAGTCCTCACATTAAATAATCTATAAATCTTGTCTATTATCTATTTATATAATTAAATATGAATAAATATAATATAAAAATATATGACAAAAAAAATAATATTTTTATCTTAAATCAAGATAAAGTAGCACTAGCTTTTTCGGATTTAAAAGCTAATCTTTTATCATATAAATTTTTAATTTGTTCAAGTACCATAAAAGTAACAACAGTATGTGGACCTAATCTTACAAAAGCTGGTACCCAACCTTTAAATAAAGCTAAAGGACCTTCAGCACGAATAATAGTTGATAAAACTTGCATAATACTCTATTTAATAAAAGAAAAAGAAGTAAGAAAGAAAATTTTCTTAAATAAATGAATGAATAAATTCTTAAATAATTTATTAAATTACCTTTGCTTGTGATGAAGAATTCATAACACGAGTTTTAATAACATCAACAGGAGAACAAACAGTTGTAGCCACCAATCCCTATTAAATAAAATATATATAATCAATTATTTAAAACAAATATTAATAAATAAATAAATAAATATATATATATATATAACCTGTCTCTTATACACATCTAGAAATAAATAAATATATATATATATATAACTTACCGCCATAACGCTACTAACAAAATGAGTGATAATATTATCTTTAAAAATTTTAGTAGATAATAACATTTGTTTGGTTTGATCATAAGTAGCCAATTGAGAAGAATTCATTAAAATAGCACGATTCACATTTGGACCAATTCCTCTTGTTAAACCTCGAAAACCATCTTCTTTTACAATACGATATAATCCATCAAGAGCATGTTTATAATTTCTACGATTTTCTAGTGGTAATTTTGCATCATTTTGCATACGAACCATAACTAAATCTGCTGGATTACCAAAAGCTCCACCTATAGATCCAGCTATTGATGCGCATAAAATCTTTTTTGTAAAAGGCAATTGTTCTAGATGAAAAAAAAAAAAAAAATGAATTAATTAAATTTATTAAATACAGTACAATCGAAAAAAAGAATATTTACCCTGATTTTTTGATATTAAATTTTTCAATTTATCATAAACACCAAATCTCATAGTAGAATAAGTAATTTGTCTTAATATACTAGCGGATAAACCACTATATAATCCTAAAATACCTTCAGTTTTTATTATTTGTATCATGGTATAAATTGTTGATGCTTTATTTACTCCATGTGTTGTTTGTAACCTTACTTTGGTTAAATCTAATGGATGACTAACTGTACAAGCAATACATGATGCCGCCCCTTAAATATTATGAAGGAGAGAGAGAGAAAGATAAATATTTTATTTTGGAATTAAATTAAATCTAAATTAATAAAAAACAATTATACCTCCAAACCAAAATGGATATTCAATCCTCCTTGATGCTGAAGAAGGTGAAGGTAATGAAATGATTTTATTTGATTTTACAGAACCCATTATTATCTATATTTTGTTTCTATTTAAATAAAATTCAAGGAAACAATAATTAAATACAATATTATTATTAAATTATAAAAATTAATGATTATTATTTAAAGGGAAAACCGGGAAAGAATTTTTTTTTTTTTTTCACTTTATTTTTCTTATTTTTAAGTAAAAACTAGCGAAATTAAATCTAAAAAATTGTCATACTAAAAATAAACAAAAATCTCATTAATCTCGTTGATATCCGGAACTTTTTGTAATACATCTAATGATCTAATAGTAGATCAAGATTTAGCAATTTTACATAATAAAAAATCAATTTGATCTTTTTTGTAAAATAATAGATAATAGATATAATAGATCGACATTTAAAAGTTAAAACTGAGTTTATTGAGAATATGAAACTATGGAAGCATATGAAACACACATGAAACGTGTTCACGTTAACAACATCACGTGAATCGTTATAATGCTTCTTAAGAATTCATTTAAAAATTATTTAGATTTGTTTAATATGGTTACGATTCTCTAATTTGATGCAATTAAAAATATTTTAATTGTTTAAAAAAAATCATGTTAGTCTTCTCTTTTTTGTTGTTGTTGTCGATATCGTTATTTATTTGTTTATTTTAATTAAACTAATATTATGGAAATTTCCAAGTTAAGAATACTCTTGTAAGAAGGACCCATAAATTTGCACCAATTAAAGAATAAAACCACTGACGTACGTTAAGTACGAGGTTGAGATGAAATTCTTGATTTACATTGCGTTGTTATTTATTTAATGCAATATTAATAGTTTCAGATTTGATATATAGATTTACAAAACTGCAAAAGAAAAAAAAAGTTTCAAAAATGAGCTGATATTTATGATGTTTGTTTTGTTTTATTTTAACATGGTATGATTTTTTTTTCTTTTCCTTTTCGGTTTATAAAAAAAATATTCCCAACTAGTAATAATTTGCATTTTTTTTTTTATGGTTTTACGAATTTCTTTTATTGGAATTTTTGTTAATGGGGACAATCGACATTTTGCATCTTATTACTTAAAGAATATGTTAACAAATTCTTTTAAAGAGAAGAATTCGACAAAAATTTATCGATTAAAACTTTATATTTGAAATTTTAATTGTTGTTTCGTTTTACTTTTATTCCTGCACGCAAATAACGATTTTAACTTTAAACAATGTATTTAACTTATTATTATTAAATTACTCCCTTTGTCAATCAAAAAGAATACTAAATACACAATTCCCCGAATTTATAACTTACTGATTTGGTAATTTTGTTGTGTTACTCTTCCCCTTCATGTAACATTTTTTTTATTATTATATTAGCAGTTTTTCACTAAAAAAAACGATTTTTTTTTTTCAAATAAAGTTTTTTTCTACCTCTCTCTCATAAATATACCTATATTAAATATTAAATCATTCTTTTAGAACAATAATTTTTTAAAACATTTTTACTCTTTATTATTATTATTCAACCGGTATCATATATTACACTTTCAAAGTAGATGGCATTGAAGGTTGCTATGACTTTTAAGCAATAAATTTTCTTGTTGTTAAAATTCCATCCTCCTTTACTCCCACTTCTGACAATAATGCTGACGTTTTTACATTTTAAATTATTATTGCTCCTCTTTATAGTACGAGTTAGAACAATGGGGTGCCGCTGTCGAAGCTTATGATGCAGAAGATTTCGATAAAGCTTTGGAAATATTTGAAGTATGCTTAAAAACTGATCTAAATAATTCATATAATTATAATTTATCTCTTTCCTTATTCATCTTATATATATTAAATTTATTAGACTATAGCGGATTCCGCAAAGTTTCACTTTAACATGGGTTTGATATATGCCACTCTCGGTGAACATGAAGAAGCGGTATGTCAATTGAATTTTTTTTTTTTTTTCTTTTTTCTTTCTTTTCTGATCTTTATTTATTAATAATTTTAGAATTTGTGTAGTGTCGACAATATAAAAAAGCTGTTAAATTAGATCAATTTTTTGCCGTAGCATATTTTCAAAAGGGTGTTTCACATTTTCTGTTGGGTGAATTTGAGAAAGCTTTAGGAAATTTCAATGATTCTTTATTGGTAATTTGATATTTTCTTTTTTATTCATAAAAAAAAAAAAAATATATTTAGCATTTATTTTAAAAAATTTATTCTTTTTTTTTTTATAGTACCTTCGTAAAAATATGCTTATAGACTATGAACAATTAGGGTTAAAGTTTCGACTTTACTCATGTGAAATTCTATTTAATCGCGGTCTTTGTTACTTATACCTTGGTAAAACGGAGCAGGGTATGGGAGATTTCACATCATCCCAAAAAGAAAAACAAACAGAAGAACATGATGTTATTGATGAAGCCATTTCGGTTCAGGGTCAAGTAAGCACTTTTTTTAAAATATTTAATAATTGGAAATTTTAGTTAATCTTATATTCTTTTAATATTCCCCCGTATTATAGGGTTTCACTGTATTTTCAATTCCAGTTGGAGTAATTTATAGACCTCCTGAAGGAAAACTTAAGAATGTGAAGACAAAAGATTATTTAGGTAAAGCAAAATTGGTTGCTGCTGTAGACCCTGAAGATGCTTTCACCGGTTTCTCAGGTGCTCAACAACAAAAGGTATATAAAATTAATTAAATTTTTATTTTTATATCATTAATTATATATGATGATTAATATGTATAAATTATATATTTGAACCCCAAAATTAGAAACAACAACAAAATACAACAACACCAATTACAAAGGCTAATACTGAAGGTACTGTTATGCAATTTGAGAGTTCACAATCACGACCGGAATCACCTGAACCATCTAGACCTCGATCATTGTCTACCAATGCAAGAGAACCTCCATTTCCCACTAAAGCGGTCAGAAATCCAAGTAAACGACGTCCTCCTCAAATTGAAGGTTCTCCTACTTTACCATATGCTGATGATAATAAAATTTCTAATGGTTTTATTCCGGGCAGAAGGTCACCTGCTCCTGATGGTATGATGTCATTGATTCAATGGGTTTAGGACAAGAAGAGTCAAGTTCTATACAGTTAGAATTCATAATAATATAATTGTTCTAATATTGTAGATAACGGGCGTGGTTCATTAAATCCTCCTGGTAGATTAAACTCTTTAAGAACTCCTAATCGTGGACCACCGCTTAGAGACGGTCCTATGCGATCTAATTCTTTGAGAGATCCCCCTAATCGTTCAAATTCATTAAGAAATGGTCCACCTAGAATGAATTCTTTAAGAGGTAGAGGAAATTCAAGAGCAATGCCTCAAAGATCAAACACACAGGGTCGTGCCCAATTCTTACAGCAACAAATGTCGAAAATGTCAGTTTCGGATGATGATCAAGGTTATAACGATTATTTCCAGAATGCTGACCAATACTCGAATAATAATCTTGTCAGTCCACCACTGAGTAATGAAGATTATAGTCAAGTGTATGATTTCAAGTCTGGAGGTGATCCATATTATAATGGAGATGGTGCATATAACTCACCAAATAATGGTAATAATATTAGCAATAGAAATCCCGGTCCACCTTTGTCACCTGCTCGTTCACCAAGTTTGCGTGGTCGTGGTGCGAGTTCACCTGGAAGAGCAATGGGTTTCAAACCATCTCCTTTATCTTCGCAAGGCGGTTTAATAACTCCACCTATGGCAGATAACGGCGAAGAAAATTATGCCAGTTTAATTTTCGATGAAGATGGTTATGGTTACGGTGATGACGACGAGACAAAATTCGAAATGCTTCCTCCGCCACAAAAACATATGTCAACACAATCTTCATTCATTAATAATAGTGGACCATTACAAAAACCAACAAAGGTACGTAATAAATAGATTTTATTTTGTTATCAAAATTTTCACACACTTTCTTATTTCTTCTTTATTTTAGATTAAGATTAAATGTTATCATAAAGACACTCGTGTAGTTTTGGTTTCAGCAAATATAAGATACCCAGATCTTATTAAACGGATACAAGAAAAATTTGCTATAGGTGCATCGCTGCAATTAAAATATAAGGACGAAGATGGTACAATGGTCACAATGATAGATCAGGATGATTTAGAGATGGCTATATCAATGGTTCCAGATGCCGCAACCGATACTGGTAGAATGGAGGTAATTGTTGTGTTTTTATGAATCTCATAATAAAATTCGAAATAATTAGAAATTTATTTATTTAAATATTTTTTTTATTTATAGATATGGATAGAAATGGAATAATGACCCCCCAAAAAATAAAAGTAAAAGTAAAAAATAAATTAAAAAAAAAACTTAAATGAGAAATAGAGGATTTTTTATTAAGATGGGTTCTTCGAGCTGGAACGTATTGTAAAAGATACCTCAGATCCCATTTTATGAGTTAAAAAAAGGTTCAAAAGTATTTTGTACATGATTGTTTATGAAATGAAAATTGACTTATAATTAATTCTAAAATTAACATGGCTGTTATAATTATTATAATTCTATCGTCATAGCCCAACTAAGGAAAAAACCATGCGAATTAATGAATGATATTCTTTTTTATATATTTATGACAATTAATTTAATATATTGAAATATTTTTTTTTTTATATTTACCGTTTAATTTACTAAACATCCTTTTTGTTTAATGTTACCATAACATAAATTTTATCTCATGAAATTTTATGTGTTTTATTACTTTTGAACCTTTATTAATTCGATCACTTAAATTGTATTTAGGGACAATTTTCTTTTTTGGACATTTTTTTTATTTAGAATCAGAATTCATTGAATTCATTAAAAAAAAGGAAGATTCTCTTTTACATTATACATGTATAATTCGAATTTAACAAGATTAAGAGTTGGTTTATTTATCATACACATTTATTTTATTTTATTATTTATAATAATATATATATTTTTGTTTTATTATCAAATTTTGCTTTTTGAAATTTTAAAAGTGTTGTTTATAGAGAGTAGAATTTATTTTTTTTATATTTTTGCAAGTTTATTCAAAAAAAAAAAGTGTATATGTATTTATGATAATTTTATTAGTAGTAAGTAATTTAGGCGATGAAAACTTAATTTATAATTAGAACTTATTTAATAATAAATTATGGTTATTTTAGGTAAAAAAAAAAAAAATCTCACGTGATATCCATCGTACTCTTAATATCTCATTTAGTTATTTTCTAAAAAGTGAAATATCCACCTTCAGATCGTTTCTTTTTCTTTTTCTTTTTGTTCTCTTTAACTCGGGCGGTGGCGTATGCTCCCATTCCGCAGAATTATTTTTCTGAAGGGTGGGTCCGATTCGTTATTGTTTGGGATAGGTATTATAGCTCATTCTTTAATAGCCAGTATAACCGGACTTGTGTCGCTCCTGTATCTGTGAAATAGTTTGACTAGAATAACCACACTTCTTAAAGTAAAATAAATAAATAAAATAAAATGAAAAGTGAAATAACGCACCGAGGATACGATTTAAGCAAACCTCAGCCCTTCGCTCAAGATATTGATATACTCATTTTCGTGTACAGCTCCATGTATACGAAATGTACTGTACATTTTGAACAATGTGGCCAAAAATGAAGTTATTGATGCTTTGCATGTATTATTCGATTTCTTAGCCATTAAAAGTAAATCTAATGTAGTATGTAAAGGATACAGAAAATGAAAGAATTTACTTGAGAATAATTATAACCTTTATAGTCTCGCGCAAGTTTTGTATGCTTAATAAACGAATATATTGTATACTCATATTTTTTGCATTGCATTATAACGTTGCTAAAATAAGTATATAATATTGACAGTGCATTACAATATATTTTAATTGTTCTAATAATAATGTTAAAGACGATAATATAAAAGTACTTGTATATACTGTAATAACTGTATATAGGTCACAATAAATGTACCTTAATATGATTAATGGATGGTTGATCAGTTAACGTTGTTTGTGCTCCAATAAGGTATTTTCCCGTTTACTCAGCATAATTTAGTTTTAGGAAGATGGTCTACTTTCAAATTTCCTTTTTGATGATATCAAGATTTTTGTTGTCATACAGAATTGTGTTAATCAGATTCCAAAAATAACATTTCATTTAAAACTTTGATCTGATTGATTTGAATTTTAAGTAATTTGGTAACCTTCAATTTATATTGATCTTATTAAACGTATTGGATTAGATGATCAATTAACTTTATTTATAAATTCTTGTTGATGCCAAGAGTTTGGAAAGGAATGACAAGTTTAAATATTACGTTGTTTAATTCCACATGTTATTTCAACCAATGAAGAAAAGAAAATTTAAAATCTGCTAAGCCTTGCCAAGAGAAAGTCATGTGACGATCGAAATAATCATGGTTTTATTCTTTGTATACCTGAAACTTACGACATAAAATTTGTAATACCACCATGTGCTGGATCGGTACAGATATTCTGCACGAACCTTTGAAACAAGACCGAATAGGTAAAATAATACAAAACGTTTGGAGTAGATCATGTTTCGAGATAGTTGCATAAGAGATCAAGACTCGCGTAAGCACTGCTTGTATTACTATCTTTAAAATGATTTTATCTACAAACCAATCTTTTCTAATGTAATATCGTCCTACGAATTTCCATTACTATAGTATATCTTCTTTTGCTTTGATATAATCAAAACTTTTGTTTAAAGCGGTAGCTGTACTATAAATGATAATTACGATTTATGATCAGTCCATTGTTCTATAATTCAAAAAAATAAGGGTATACCATTATTAATAGATAAATAAGTTGATTAATAAATATAAAAGATGATTGAGATCTAATTATATAATTTAATAAAATATAAAATATAAAATATAAAATAACTAATTGCTCTTCTTATAATTATTTTTTCTTTTTATACGATAGTTAAACTATTAAATAATTTCCTCTCAATTAAAAAAAAAAAATGTCAAATCTAACATCTATCATATATTAACTATAACATAATTTTTATATAAAATTTCCTTATTTTTTTCCCTTACGATCTGCGCCTCTTCTCATGATATCCAAAAGGAACGATAATTGAGATTCATTTTATGAGTTCAAGAATTACTCAGAAGTGAACCCGTGGACATATCTATGCCTCCTGAATCCACAAATTCCTCATTTTTCTTGAGAATTATTAATCTTTAAACTATGTACTTAAGTACAGAGAACGGAAACACAACAATAATAAATACTATATATATTTTGTCAAGATATTGGTATTTTCTATGATACCTTATAGAAGAATCTGGAATAACGTATGAACTTATAATTGATTGCATATATTTTATGATGAATTCAAAAACTATTTTATAATAGACTGACTAAGAGCTAAGTGTCATTATTGACACCTTTATTAACCTCGCATGGGTAGGTTATAGGATGCGGACAATTATGAAATCATATTATAATTGGATTGGTACCATTTGGTAAAAAATTTCAAAAATTTCATTATAATTTTTACTGAAGTAACTCGTCAACTTGAGTAAGGATTTATAATGAATATGAATGGTATTGATTATTGGATTTCAGGTGGATTGGCTGATTACTGAAGATTTGCCACAAGGAAACGACATGGCTAAAATTTTTCTTCGAAGCGACTGTTCGAGGTCATGTACACGTTCTGAGCGACCTTGAACTAGGATACTTTATAATAACAAAGTTCGCATTTGCGCAATTGTTCCCATAGACGATGTTAGCATGAAATCAGGATAGACCGTTCAAAGCGAGATAGGAGGGGAAAAACAATGCCAGCAGTGGCACAATGACAACCAAACAATAACTTACATGAAATAATGACTACTATATGATTACTCTTAACTTTCTTAAATAGAATTTTTTGATAACAGAAGTGATTTTTTTGATATACCAATGCTTTATTCACAATTTATTTATATGTTTTCCTTGTATTAATATGAATTTTTAAATTCTTTTTTAATATATTGCACTTCAATTTCCAGATTTGAGTAATGCAAATGATAAAAAGAAAAAAAAAAAATTTTATTTACTTATAATAGAATTTGTTAATAAAAATGTTCAAGATATAGAATGAGAATAAAAAAAATTGTAAAATGTTCAGAATAATTCGCAAAAAAATTTTATAATCGATTCCCTTATTCAATATTTACTCCTAATATATTTCTCTATAATGAACCCTTCTTTCTATTAAATAAATTAAAAATAATTATCAATTAGAATATTTAGATTAAATTTTTTTAAAAAAAAATCAATTTTATATCTTACCAATTAAAACAGGCCAAGGATCCTCGTAATTTTGATTGATTGAAGGTATAACACATAATAATTTCTTACATAAATTATGATCAAATTCAATTCTAGTATCTTTACCAATCCTTAATTCTTTCAAACGTTTTCCAGTATCTCTAGCATAATCACCTATAGCTTCAAGTAAAGTATCATCAAATTTTTCCACATCTAAACTTAAAATTTCTAATTTTGCAATAGTATTTTCTAATATACAAGTTAAAGATTCAGGAGCGATATTATATCTACTTTCTAATTGTAAATGTAAAAGATTTGTAGGTAAAAGTTGACCAATTTGTTGACAAACTGTTATAGAAAATAAACGACTACTAATTCCCACATCACTTAAAGATAAATGTGAAAGAGAAGTTGAACAAGAGATCCACTCAAGTTGTTGTATAGGAGGTATAGTTCTAATAGATAATGAACTTAAATTAGGAATTTGTGTATTAATAATTTGGGATAATTCAGGATTAAAAAAATCAATAACTAATTCTTTTAAACGATTTTTTGATATCATTATAATAGTAGTACAAGTTAAATCTGAAAGAAAAGTTTCACTATTATTTTCATTATTTAAAGTTAATTTGTTAATAGTAAGTTGAAATGATTTATATAAAGAATCTGGTAAAGTAATATCTTTTTCTTGATAACAATTTATAAATTTCAAATTTTTTAAATTTGAACATTTTGTTAAAATTTCTAAAGAATTCCAATCAATAAATAATTTTCGAAAATCCAAACTTGTTAATGAAATTACTTGACTTGTAAGTGAAGAAAAAATTGAAGCAGATCTTGAAGGATTAAAAGAACCAACTAAAGGAGATAACATATTAAAACTTGATAAATTATTTTGAGATTCGATTAATTTTGGAATTTGTTGAGATAAAGGACAATCAAAATATGGAGTAACAATAATATGATTAATATATTGAGAATTATTAATTATAGTTGTTAATAAATTAGATAAATGACCTTGATGATCCACATATGTACAATCTATATGAAGTTCATTTAAACGTGAAACAGCTCTTTGAATTCCAGAGAAAGAAACGAAATCAGTATTATTATTATCATAACAAAGTTGTTGTAATTCACAATCTAATTTTTTAAACCCATTACATTTGTTAAATAACATTTCCAAAATTAAAGATTCAACATTTTGAAATTGAGCTTTACGTTTAAGCATATAATCAGTATTCTTTTCCCACCATTGACAGATTGATACTTGTAAATTTCCAATATGAAGTTCTTTTAAATAAGTTGGATAATCGAATAATGTTTTTATATTTTTAATTTTATGACCTTCATCGATTAATTGTTGAGTTGCTTCATCAGAAAGACAAGAAATATAAGTTCTAATAAGTAAATAACCTTTTTCATTATCATTTCCATCAAATCTCATATTATTAAATGGATGAGACCATAATAATGAAATAGCCACTTGACACCAAGATCTATTCACTAAAGTCCAAGAATAAAGAGATGCTTGATCATTTTCTCTATCAAGACTTTTTAAAATTTCTTCAATGCAATCTGATGTAAGTTTTGGTGTATCAATTTTTCCTTTTGTTCTAAATCCTAAAGGTGTGGGACTCATGTTATTCTAAAAAATAAAAATTGAAATTTGTTAAAATAAAATAAAAATTATTATATTAAAAAGAAAAAAAAATTTAAAAAAATTATCCACTCACATTTTCTTAAAAGTGATATATAATAAAAGTTTGTGTAAAGTTTATTATAATGATAGATTAAATAAATCTCTTTTTTTTTTTTTTTTTTTTGTATTTGAAGTGAAAGAAGAAAGAAAAAAGAAAAATTGTAAGAATGTCTGCCTCTAATTCGTTCAAAAAATTGAAATGATTTTTATAAGTAAATATTGAGGTTTATATATTTTGATAACAAATTTCGATTACTAAATTCGAGCAACAATTCATAAGACAGTAATGCGCAAACATGTATGAAATGTACACATAGTTAACCAATTATACCAATTAATTTTTATTTTTGAACCAATGATCGACAGGTAAGAAATTCATGCTCTAATCCATATTTCCAATTTTAGTAATGATAAAAAACACAATGTCGTAATTCCTCAAAGAATTATGAAAATCAACTTTAAAAGAGGCAATAGCTTCTTTTTAGGTTATATATCACATGATCGTCAACGAAAATTTTCCCATCAGGCCACCACGAAAAAAAAAAATATTTTCTTTCTGTTCTTTAATAGTTGATAATAATATAATATAATAAAAAATATAATAATAATCATCTTATCATCCTTTTTTTTTTTTCACTAATTTTTTTGAATCATTTCATATATATATTGGTGAGTAAAGGGAAAAAATTTTTTCAATGCAAGCAATGCATGGGAACTTTATTTTTTTCGAAATTTATTAAATTTATTAGATCGACCTTTTTTTCCTAAATGATTTACATTTTACACTCGTTTATATAAAAGAAAGGATGGAAATAATCATATAATCGATTATTTCTTGCATAATTATTTATTTAATATATACAAGTACAGAGAAAATTCTCGCCTCTTTTTTTTTTTAGGTTTTATTTCCTTTTATATTAAACTCATTCGTGTATCTATTTCGCCTTCTCGCATATACGATTTAAACTGCATAACCAATTGTAGGTTCGTGGCATTTTAAATAAACTTTAAATAAACAAAGAAAATCGTTAAATCGTGGCGCAGCAAACCACTTTGAGTAAAATTAATGTCAGATATCAAATCTAATCATTTTATTATTTAATATCTATATTGTCATTGTTATTATTGTTGGGAAAAAAAAAAAAAAATTTGTACATATTTATATTGAAAATAAATAATATAATTAAAAAAGGTATAAAACTAAAATAATACAAAAATTATTTTTTTTATGATGAGAATCTTATCTAATTTACGGTAGAACATTTCCATTTAAACTAATTGTCTTTATTATTGTTCTCATCATATCCTGTGAAAAAAAAAAGGGTTATTGTGCATCAAAGGAAATCATATTTGGCTTCATTATTCGAATATTGTCCAATTAAAAGTATCAACGAACTAGAAAAAAAAACAATACTTTTTTTTAATCTGAATCTTTTTTTAAAAAAAATCATTGTGAATGATAAAAATGATAAAAAATGACGAAAATCATACCTCATTAATATGCAACCATTTTGAACTACTACAGCTACCCCAAAATAATACTCATTATCGGATGTATAATAATGATTTATAAGATACTTGTATACGAAATAAAACTACAAAAAAAGAAAATATGAAATTTTCATTTTACAATCCATTAAATTATAATAAATTAAAAGATAAATTATTATAATCATTATAAAATATATTTACCACTGAACCTATTAAACCACCAACCAAAAGAGTGAAACCAAAAAATAAGTATAGGCGTGCTCTCCAGAGCATCCTACGTGGAAATATATAAAATTCACCACTAAAAATAGATTTATCAATCAAAGCCACTCTGAAAATAAAAAGTTTAAACAGTTAACTATTTGTCTCTGTAATTATTATAAATAAAGATATCGTCTAAAAGATTTATTATATTTACATAATCATTCCAAGAGTCGTTATAATACCAGTTATAACTTCTTCAATAGTAACGTTAACGCGGTTGTATACTAAAGCATCAATAAATGCCCACCATCCTATAGCAAACTTATAAAAGTAAAATTTGTTTTTGATTTAGAATAAAATAAACCTTTTTTTTTCTTAATAAAAAAAAAAAAAGGAAATTTTTCTTACCAATCCTCCAGATAAATATACTGCAATAAGTTTTGTTTGGGGTAAACGATAACATATTCGTCCATTATCAAATTCAGAAACTGGAGATAAATTTGAAGGAGTGGAGGAAGAAACGAGAAGTCGATGAATCATGATGAGATTATGATTATATTTTTTAGGATTTTTTTTTTTTGTGTTTTTTTCCTCGTTAATTTCTGGTTCCTATTGAGAAGTATTTTTTTAAAATGAAACAAACTAAATAAATAAATAAAATTGCTTTTTATATACGGTATTTAATTTTACCTAATAGATTTACTGATGTGGCAATAAATTTTTTAAATAGGAAATAAAATTCCGGCTGCGGCTCTTTTTGTCAATAAAAATTAATAATAAAATGCATAAAAAAAAGTTTATGTTAATCCTGATTTGCTGCAATTACAAAAAACGCCATTCTTTCAATCGCGTAGTTCAAATATGGTTAGATGTTGGTTGATTAATTTCGTACCATTAGTGCCTCAAGTATCACCACGTGAAGCCTTCTCACACTATATATACATTTTGTGCTTCTCACATGGCTAAATAACGTTTAGTGTTAATTAATTATTAATTTATTGGTTGAGCGATTATTTTTTTACTCAAACAACAAGTTCTTTTTAATGTTTGATTCATGATATTCATATGAATATTTATTATTCCCTTTTTTTCCCTATTTTTTAAAGAAATTTTGGATCTTGTTTTGATAATTATTTTTGTGATTGAAAGATTGAAATGAGTTCTGGATATACATTTTTGCGATCAAAAAATATATATATACGTAATAATTTTTTTTATTTTAACGAAATAGTCAAAAAAAAGTCTATTTATTAATAGAATTCCCACAATGATTATCAAAAAAACGATTCCCTTAAAATCAGAAGGTTTTGATTCTTATCTTGGCGTAACATTCTTTATCATTTCTCATTGTAAAGTATCTTTATTTGTATAAATAAAAAAAAAACTTGATTTAAAATTCGAATTTTCCCTAAATTCTCATGCGGTTAAATTTAGTAGTTTAATAGTCTAATATTTGTGTGACCATAAAAAGTTGTAAAACATGATAAACTAAAATATTTTTAATATATTCCTCTGAATCTCGGAAATTGTTTAATGTTACGACTGTGACGTAAATTCTATATCCTACGTCATCAAACATACTGCGTCCAATAAAGTGTATGTCTATCAGCTTCCTATTATGGATACCAATTAAAAAAATTGAGATCTTTTTTAATCGATAAATCGATAAATCGATAAGAAAATCTTTTTTAATTTTTTACTTTTTTTTTCTTACGATTCAAAATTCGAGAAATAAATTAGGTAAGTTATTTTAATTCAAAATATCGTTCATTACTTTTATATAAATCTTTTTTTTTTTTTACATTTAAAATAAATATATAAATCTATATTTTTTTTTTCCCTTCAAAAAAAAAAACTTAGCGAATTTAATGAATATCAATGAGTTTTCCACTTCCAATCGAATTATTAAGAGAAATTTTCATAAATCTTCATAGTGAAGAAGATCATGCTGATTTATTCTGTGTCGCATTTGTAAATCGGGAATGGTGTAAAACTGCAATTCCTCTCTTATGGGAATCTCCTTTTTATTCAATGACAAAAGAAACTATTTGGAGATGTTTAAATATTCGTACTTATATTTCTGGAATTAAAGAGGAATCAAGAAAAATTTTAATAGAAAATGGAATGGATCTTAGATCTTCACCTGTTGGTACAGCTTTCGATTATACTTCTTATTTACAAAAAATTGATTTATGGAATATTAAAACCGCAATAAGACATTATCTTATTGAAACACAAAAAAGGGGTCTAGATTTTGCTTTATCTAAGACAAGATTATTATTTCAAATTTTATATATGCACTTTTTAGATCGTAGTAGAGGAATAAAAAAAATTGTAATTAAGAATGCTCAGAATATGATATGTTTAATGGATGATCTTATTACTTTATCATTTTTAAAACAAAGTTCAAATAAATTTAGTGGATTAAAAGAATTTCATTCAGATCTTTATGCTGGAAATGATTTTTCAAATTTTTATAAATTGATGTCAGGATGTTCAAAAAATATCGTTCGAATGAATATTCATGTAAAGACTATACAAGAAGGAGATGCATTAGCAACACTTGTTAAATCACAAAATAAATTGAAACATCTTAAAATTACTTCTCAATCAGATTGTTATATTCCTGTACTTCAAGCGATTGAATATCAAAAATCTTCTATTTTATGTCTTAGATTAAAAGATCTTAACTTTCAAAATATTACAAAGAGAGCTTTAGAAGGATTAATCTCATGTAATTTATTAAGATCTCTTTCACTTTTAAATTGTACTGGATTTAAAATTGTGAATCTTCAACCTTTATCTTTCGCTTTTCCTAATTTACAAAAATTTGAATATGGATGTGATTATAATCAAGAAAAATTTCCAGAGGAATTTATTATTGGAATAATTCAAACTTCTGGTCATAAGATGAAAAAATTGATCTTTAATGATTTGAAAAATAATAAACATTCCCCTGATTTAATTCATGCTATCAAATTTTATTGTCCAAAAATTCAAAAATTAAAATTACAAAGAATAGCTTTTTATCAAGCATTAACCTTATTTCAAAATTGTATTCATTTAAAACAAATACATTTTGATGGTAGAGAAATATTTGATACTGATTCTCTTTTATACAAATTATCACAAAATGTTCCTCCTTCTCTTGAAATTATGGAAATTATAATGTTATTTCACAAACCTTGGAAAATTTCTCCTGATACTCTCGAGAAATTTCTTAAAAATAGTAGTCCATCATTTAAATTATTGAAAATATATCATGATAGTACTAGTCCCATATTTATTGGTCCTAAAAAGATTACAACTTTTAATGAACAACATTTTAATTTAATCAAGAAATATGGAGTTAAATTATATATGTCTAGCTCGTTTGATCCCGAATATATTAATCCAATTATTATTCCAGGTAATAATAATATAATTAATTAATAAGATGTAATTTTTTAAAATATATTAATATATTTCTTTTTTTTTTTTTTTGTAGAAGAACCTAAAACGATAAGGCGCAAGTATCAAAGTGCGATTATAGATGATGATTTGGATTTGGATTTTATATCAACGACGGAATTTCACTCTCCTTCAATAATCTTTAATATTCATACTACAAATTACACTAATCATAACGTTCATATTCATAATACTTCAAACAGTTCTCAACCAATAAGACGTGTTTCATCATTTTTTTCATCCTTTTTTGGATCATATTAGGGTTTAAGAATCATTTGTGTGAGATGGGTATTGATTTTAAGTGAATAGGTAAAAAAAAAAAAAAAAAAAATAATTATTATTNATGATTGATGGAATTTTTATTAAGGATGGAAAAAGAATGTGATCTAAATTTACAGTAAAAAAAAAAAAAAAAAAAATTATTAATGATTCATCATATTGAAATCATATGAAAACTATTATAGTACTAATAGATTGGTAGCTATATCGGTCGAAGATCATGTATATTAAAGAGATGTTAGTAGCGTTCAATTAATTTGGTCAATTTGTCCAAATATATATGAGTGATTATAATTGATTTGATCGATCATCGCCATCATCGCCCAAAAAACGAAAGAATTACACGTCTATTTACGTCTATTACTTAAATGCATCAAATGTATCATCATTTGTATCATTTATTTGTTTATAAAATAAAATCAGCCTACAAAGTATTACAATTGAGATATTACCAATTTAGAAATTTATAATAAGTAATACGGTTATAACAAATATTATAACTTTATCATATTGATTATCATAGTTTTGATGAGATTCATATCGACCTTCCTATTACTGTATTAAAAAAAAAAAGTAATTTAGATTTGTTTTGTCATACGATTACACAAAATCAAGGATCCCGCGCCGAATTTTTTTTGGAATGTTACATTTTACGCATTTTTACTATGCCAAATTTATCTAACTTTAAAAGTTGTAAATCTCGAAACGCGTAAAAATAATATGAAACGAAAAAATTTTAATTATTTTCAATAAAATAAAATATTTTGATCGTGCTTCGATATCTTTATTATTAAAAGAATAACTTATTGTCAATAATTGGTAAATGATTATAATTTTATTTAATCATTTAATCTATTATTACTTATTTGTAATTTATATAAATTCTTTCATATTCCATAAACTGATTACTTATTCTTCAAAATCCATGGGTGTGTCGTAACTTGATCGAGGGGCAAACGTTTCTCAGGATCGGACTGTAATAAAGACGAAATAAGATCTTTAGCTTCCAAAGAGATTTGATCTGGTATTTTATAATCTACTGTGGCAATTTTTTGATAAGTTTCACGTAAGTCTTCAACCATGAAAGGAGGCTCCCCAACCAAAAATTCATAACACAACACTCCAAGCGCCCACGCATCTATCTTTTGGCCATAACCCATGTCTTTGATCATTTCAGGTGCCAAGTAATCAGGCGTACCACAGAATGTCATACGTCTCTGGCTTGCGTCTGGTGTATGAATCGCCCATCCGAAATCCGAAATCTTTATTTTACCATCACTTGACAATAGTATATTTTCTGGCTTCATATCTCGATGAATTACTTTTTTCTTTTGAAGATAGACAAGAGCAGCTGCTATCTGAGATATATAACTTGCTGCTTTATGTTCTGTAAAAGGCCCATCTTTTTGAAGATTCTTATACAATTCTCCATTTTCGGCATATTCTAACACCAAAAATACGCGATGCTTATCGTGAAAGTATCCATATAAGCGTAAGATATTAGAATGTCTCAGATGAGACTGAATCTCCACTTCGCGTTTTAGTTGTTCTATCATATTATTTTCTCGAAATTCTTTTTTAAATATTACTTTGATAGCAACAATCTTCTTACTATCCTTTTCTCTTGCCATATAAACACGACCGAAACGCCCTTCACCAAGAGGGTTCCCCATTTCAAAATCATCTAAATGCCACACTCTAGGCTCTATTCTTTTTGAAGCGTTACTATGAGTTTGTGGTTTCGTTGATTTGTCAGCGGTTTCATCATCAATTGATAATTCGGATTTTTGGCCGTGTTTAATAGAACTCGAGACTTTTCCAGATTTGACAATTGACTTCTGTTGATTATCTGGTTTAATTTTTTTTGAAATTGAATTTTCCCTAACAGACTTTACGGTACCGTTAACAACAGTTTTTGGCGCTAGAGCAACGCGCTTTGCAGAACACTCAAATCCGGATTCAATTTTGAGTTTATCCATGCGCTCTTCTAGTTGTTTTAAGTTATAAGCTTTATTGTTTTTCTGGTGAAATTTCGCGTTTAGAGAGGTATTGTTAGACAATTCCATGTTCTCGTTTTGTTTTAGAAAAAAGAATAAAGTGAACTTTTTAAAAAAGAAAAAATATATTTTTAAGATATAAGATATAAGAAAAAAAAATAATACTATGATATATATATATACAAATTGGACTGATGTTATTATCACGTGATTCAATAGTTTTTCCTACACATTTTTTAGTCCGTATATACTTATTTAATTTTTATTTTTATTTTACAGAGTAAACCAGTTACATAGAATACACGAAACTATAATATAAAATATTCCACTTTATTAATTATAAGTACAATCACCCTCTTCCATTATTCACTTTTCTTTTTCTCCTTGATTTCTCAAACAAGAATGTCATTTGATACTGGACACGTTCATCAACAAATTCAATAAATTCTGAAGCCTTCCGCTTTTACAGAAACATTACAGATTTGGAAAAAACACCATTTTTGAAAACATCTAAAGCAATAAATCACGTGATTTGATAAATATAAACTTGAAAACCATAAAATAAGACTACTCTATAAGTTTACTTAAGGAAAAAAAGTAGATTTTGAATACTTTTTTTTGACTTTACATATGAGCAAAAGAATATTTAAAAATGGATCAAATAATTAAAATTCATCATCATACCAAAATCTTATAAATTGCTAAATTTGTTAAGAGGCAATATTATGTAATCATAAATTTTGCTCATAGACAAAGTTAAAATTAAAATAATAATCTACCGATGATTAATTCACGATTAATATTTAATTATATAGACTCCAATTTTTACAATTACTTTACAATTAAAATAAATTATATACAATTTATATATGAAATACATTAACATTATTAAATAACAATCATTAGTATTATATCATTCTAATAGTTAGTGTTAGTTTAGTATAATTATACTTATAAAAAAAACAAAATTTAAATAAAGGCTGATTTAATAAATTTATAAATTTTTTACTCAACTAATTATATAATTGGATAAAATTAGCATCACATGACAAAATAAAATAAATTTATTTCTTGTGATATTCATTCAATTTGCAAGAAGATGAGAAAATAATATTTAATTTATGACCTCTTTTTTTGTTAGTAATACACATTTTTTTATTATAATATCGTAATATAGTTACAATTATAATTAAAGACACTGGTCAAAATTATTTCTTTCAGCATTAATACCTTTCGTTAAAAGTCATCTTTATCACGTAATTCATCATACATTTAACTGATTAAAAATTCAGAAAAATTTCAGCATAAATTAACTGGTCGATTTTTGGTTGAGTTATAACATAAAAAAACTATAAATCAATCAATTCTTTTTTTTTATTAATTTTTATTAATAACAATGATCAATTTAAAACTTTTTTGACAATTTTTAACTGATTTTTTAATTATTTAATATTAATAATAAATAATAATATGACATATAAGTAAAATAAGAAAACACTGAAGTTAAAGATTCATTAAATTTTATTGTAAATTAATTTATTTGTATTATTTATTATTAAATAACCAATTCCATAAATTTTGTTAAACAATTATTATAAAGAAAAATTCTGTAACTTTAGTAAATTACTGAATGTGAAACTTGCAATTTAATAGATTTATTACTATAAAATATTCAGTTGTATTGCAGTTAAAGAAATTTTATATTTAATGGGCATAAATTGGCAAAAAGTTATATACTGAAATAATACAATACTTACTTTCAGAAAAAATCTGTTTTCCATAATTCAATATTGCATGTTTCTGATTCTTCAATATTATTAATACTAAAATGATACCTAAGGATGCTTATTAAAACTATTTTTTCAAAATTTTAATTTAGTTAAAATTCAATCTAGAACTATTTTTTATAATAAACACTGGTTGAAATAGTCCAAATCGGCTAGAAATCAGATGTCCAATTTTAGGCTGAATTTGGTGATAAAGATAGCTGAATTGTCAATCCAAAAAAAGTTCTGATTGGCAGGCTGATTGATGCCAATCAGAATGTCCGAATTGTATCTGGATTGCTTAGTATTTTTAATTTGAATTGTTTAAAAAATATATTCATAAATTTACCAAATTGCAGTGAATTTATTCGAATTATGATAAATTTTAATAAATTGCGATAAATTTTAATTTGAATTACAGTAAATTTTAATCTGAATTGTGGTAAATTTTATTCTGAATTGTGATAAATTTTAATCTGAATTGCAGTAAATTTTCTATTCTAAATTGTGGTAAATTTTATTCTGAATTGCGGTAAATTTAATCTGAATTGCGGTAAATTTTCTATTCTGAATTGTGGTAAATTTAATCTGAATTGTGGTAAATTTTATTCTGAATTGTGGTAAATTTATTCTGAATTGTGATAAATTTTATTCTGAATTGCGTCTGAATTGCAGTTAATTTTATTCTGAATTGCATCTGAATTGCAGTAAATTTGATTCTGAATTATATTGTAAATTGCAGTAAATTTTATTCTGAATTATATCACAAATTACAGTAAATTTTATTCTGAAAATTTAAAATATTATATATACATATAAAACAATTTCACCCAAAAATCAATATTCCAGTTGCCTGAAAAAAAGAAAAAAACTTGAAAGGTGAAGTAGCTCTGTAGCTGTTTAAAATCACCTTACCAAATTTTAAATTTCTATGCGTCTAAAAGATCCTAGAATAATGTTAAAAATGTTAATTACGTAAATAATAAAATACTTTTTTATAAAAGTTTTGAATTTTTTTATTTCAGAACTAATCTGGGAATTCGATATATGTTAAATTCCTTAATTCCCATTCGTTTCTACAAATTGAAGATAATTTTCCTATAAAAAAAAAAAAAAAAANAAAAAAACATTAAAATACCCTTTTTTTTAAGTTTTAAGTTTCAAAAATCAAATGTTACCTGTAAGATGGCAAATTGGAGCTGATTTCCCTACAAAAAAATAATAAAATATAATAAAAAATGTTAAATTAAACATTTTTTATTAAGTTTTGTCAAAAAGTTTTGAAAATCAAAACTTTACTTGCAGGATTCTGGTATCCAAATTGGAGCCGATTTTCCTGCAAAAAAAAATAATAAAAAATAATTAAAAAATGTTAAAATAAATATTTTTTTTATTAAATTTCAAAAATACGAAACTTTACCTATAGGATTGGCCAAATCGGAGCTGACTTTCTATAAAAATATAAAAACGTTAAAAATAAATGTTTTTTATGAAAGTTTTGAAGTTAGAAACTTTACCTATAGGATTGGCCAAATCAGAGCCAATTTCCTATAAAATAATATAAAAAACGTTAAAATTAACATTTTTTTATTAAGTTTCAAAAATATGAAACTTTACCTGTAGATTTGGCCAAATCGGAGCCTTGTACTTTGGTGTTCTGGACCTACAAAATTAAAAACGAACATTAGTTACCATTCGTTAAAATAAAATAAAAAAAAAATTTTTTTTTTTGAAGTTTCACCTTCAAAATACCGTCCAGAAGGCTGAAATCCTAAAAAAGGAAGAAAATCAAAACGTTAATTAATGTTTCATTCAAATAAAAAAAAGAAAAAATGCAGAATTTCGAAGAGATACCTTCAAAATTCTATTCAGACATATGGAAATCAGAAAGCCAAAAACTTAAAATAAAAGAAAATTAAAACGTTAATCAACATTTCGTTTAAATAAAAATACAAAAAAAAAATGCGAATTTTGAAGAGATATCTTCAAAATTCCATCCAGATATATGGAAACCAAAAAGCCAAAAACCTAAAATAAAAGAAATCAAAACGTCAGTCAACGTTTTGTTCAAATAAAAAAAGAAAAAAAAACATAAAATTTCGAAGAGTTACCTTTGAATTCCATCCAGATAGACAGAAACTAGAGAGCCAAAAACCTAAAAAAAAAATTGAGGAGTTCAGAACCTGGTTTCAGATTCCTGCACTTACAAAAAAAGAAAAATTCAAATAAACAAAAGTTAGTCAATATTTTGTGTATAAAAAAGAAAAAAAAATTTTCTACCTTTAAAATGCTGCTCAGGAAACCATGAACCTACAAAAAGTAAGAACGAATGTTAGTTGGCATTCGTTAAAATAGAGTAAATAAAATAAAAAATTTCAAAGGTTCATATTTTTGGCGAAATTTGTCTTTCAGCTTTCTGGTCTTACAAAAAATAAGAACGAATGTTAGTTAATTTTCATCAAATAAACAAAAAAAAACTTTTTTTCAAAAGTTTCACCTTCGAAATACCGTCTAGGAAGCTGAAAACCTAAAAAAAAAGAAAACTGAAATGTTAGTTAACGTTTCGTTCAAATAAAAAAAGAATAAAAAATCAGAATTTTGAAGAGTACTTTCAAAATTCCATCTAAACATACGGAAACTGGAGAGTAAACCTAAAAAAAAAAGAAAATAATGAAATGTTAGTCAACGTTTTATTCAAATAAAAAAAGAATAAAAAATCAGAATTTCAAAGAGGTACCCTTAAAATTCCATCCAGACATACGAGAACCGAAGAGCCAAAAACCTAAAAAAAAAAGAAATCTGAAACGTTAGCCAATGTTTTGTTCAAATAAAAAAAGAAAAAAAAATTGGAATTTTGAAGAGATACCTTTAAAATTCCATCCAAACATATGGAAACCGGTGAGATCCCCCAATTCCCTTTGTCATCAATTTACAGAGTTGCCACATCGAACGGGCATTCCCATGGTCGAACGAACGAATAAACGAACGAACGAACAATTAAACGAGCGAACAATTAATCAACAACATAATTAACAAACAATATAATCAACGAACAATATACAACAACATATACAACATTCTTGGTTTACAAAATAAATAGCGTTAGTAATATAAAAAATAAAACGATATAAAATAAAATTAACTTCTCTAAATTTTCCCCAAATTATATCCACTTTTACCTTTAATTACAAACTTCAATAGCTCTCACTACGAATTATTACTTTACAAAAAAATATATTTAATTCATCTTAAAATTAAAATTTATTAAATTAAAATTAATTAAGCGAACATTAATTAAAGTTTAGGGCGAACCTATTACCTTTAATTAATATTATACTTCATTAACAAATAATTAAATTTAACTTATATTTTTTTATTG